CTATTTTATGTTAATCAAACAACAAATAGCAAATACTTTCTCGACCATATTTTATATGTCATCAAGTTTTGTATTTAAATGCTTTGAACTGTTATTTTATCTCTTTTTATTGCAGTAAGTTTGAAGTTTAGTTGCTAAAGACGCTACGTACATGCTACACACATGGTGCCTGACACGTTTTTATTTAATTCACTATAAATAACAAAAATTAGGATTTACACTTGAGAAATTTTAGCAGACATGAATTAGTGGAACCTAATTTAGCGAAAGATAATTGGTCCACTATCGGTTTCCAAAGTGAGCGAAAAAAGCTAATCCGGTAAATRAGAAGCTAGTTCCGCTATCAGCGGATCGGTGAAACAGTGCCCACCACTGGACAACCGTTAAATGAGAACAGATTCTGGTCTCCTGTCTGCAGCTCGTGTTATAAACTCGTACAAAAACAAGCTTTCAGTTCCAGGTTCAAGCTTTTGTTTACACCATCACCTCCGCTCTGCTCTCCTCCCCGACACGAAGCGCAGGACATCTGGACTGTAATTAAAGACATTCCAGGCTTAACCTAACTCATCAGCCCCCAGAGCTTCACCCTGACATTTCACCATCATTATGGGATATTTTCAGCCAACTCTTCACGCCTCTCACATACTCATACCAAACCCTCCAACGGCTCCGTCGCTCAGGCTTCTGCTGCACTTTTTTTTATCAGTTTTTTTTGTTTGTTTTTTTGCACAAACACGCGGGCATCTGATTGTCGGTGCGAAGCACACGGGCATTATTGACAGGAAGTGTGAGAGTAGACGTGGACGGACTGAAGAAGCAGCTTTTGTTTGCACAGTTGTTCGTTTTCCCTTCCAATTGAGCTCACCAAATCTGTCCAAGGAGTCCGGATTATTTGCCTAAATACACATGCACAGACCGACACACAACACAAACACAAGACTTTCACAGAGACAAGTGCTAAAAAGATAGAGATGGCAAAAAGCAAAATCTTTTGTATGATGTCATCAAAGACTTTTTGGAAAACATGGCTGATTAATTTGGCCATTTTTTTAAAGATCATAGGGG